CCGCGACGCGGGGACTCCGGGCGGAAGGAGCCGAGTGTGCGCGGGGCGCGCGGAGGGGAAAAGAAAACCCCCAGTTCCAGAATGGCTCCTGCGCGGCGCCACAGCCCCGGAGCCTCACCGCGCAGCCAGCACCCTGTGGGTTCCGGACCCAGCAGAAAACGCTGCCGCAAACCACGAGGCTAGCTTCCGCCAGTACTGCCGCACGCCGCGTCCTTTCGCGACCTGTATTCGTAAAGCAAGGTCTGGGCGGGGCGATGATGAATATATTTACATAAATAATAAGCCGCGTGTTAATTTCCCTTCTGTTCTACTGTTTAAGACAGATAAAGAAAAACAATTAAGAAAATGTCATAAAAATAAAAAATTGGACAAAATTATATGTGTTAAGACTGACGATAGCCGAACTTCAGAAGTCACCCTTTCTGTTAAGTTAGTGGCACACACTTGGGGTGCCTCAGCCCTCCCCACATCTCTGATCCTTTTGTGGTTCATAAGCGTGATGATTGGGTGTTCACGCCTGTGCGTGACATGTGCCTCCCTCCTGTTACGACGCCGGCACAGTACCCGTCTGACGTGAACCATGTGGTCCGACTCCTCCCCTTGACCCGGAAGTGGCTTGAACTTCTCACTTCCACCGCCTTTTGGGCTGCTTTTGTGGTTTTAGTGTTAGCTGCAGACCGTGTAGACCTGGGTCGGGGGTTTTCATTGCTTGGCTCCCTCAGTGTGCTGTCTGGGTGACGCGCGGTGCTACTAGGGACATTGCTAGGATGATCCTGCCTATTCGGTGCAGGCGTTGCCACCTCTATGGCTGTCACTGGCCTCCCATGTGGTTGACTGCTGTTCACATCCCGGAGAAGGGATTGTGATGTGGCCATCCCCCTTGGAGGGTGATTTCTCGCTTTCTGTAGCAAAAATCTCTCCAAAAAAAGGGGAAAAAAGTTATTTATTGTCATTATTTTTAAATTTTGACCAGAGAGACAGAAAGAGAGCAAGCTGCCAGGTCCAGGACTCAAACCATGGCTAGCCATGTGGGAGTCCAGTGCCTTTAACCACCAGGCCACCTGCTGGCCCCTGGACTTGAACTTCCTTAATATGAGACATATGCCTCTCCTATTTCACCAGAAATACCGCTTTCTAATAACATTAACATAATAACTTATTAGCTTTACCCTAAAATGTAAAGTTATTGAAGCGGCGACAGTGTTGTCACTAACGTAAGATTACTGGACACAACCTCAGAGGTCTTCACTGTCCTCTTCTGCCTGGATGCACTTGGCAAATCACATCACTACGCTCGAATGCTGCGTCTCCTCCGCGGCTGTGGTGGGAAGCTGTGGGGTCCGCACGAGTGGGCCAGGGAATGCCCAAACGCAGGACCCTGTGCTGGGAGGATGGACTGAGAGCGCCCCACCCGTGGGCGGGCCCACCTACTCGGAGACAGGCCGGGCAAGGTGGCCACGCTCAGCCAGCGCAGGCCCCGCACCCCTGTAGGCTGCTGGCCCCACGTGCGTCTCAGTGACCGCGTGTCCTGGGCTAGCTGCCATCGTGGTCTCGTTGAAGGGATTTGAAAAGTCTGGCTCTCCACGTCGCTATCCAGACCACACCTCCCTCCAGCCACGGCCAGGGAGGCGGAGGGGTCCCCGGCAGTGCCTGTGCGGCCTCCCCGGGCAGGCAGTGGCTGTGACCACCGGGTCCTCGCGGGCTCTGCCTGCTGTTAGCTCCCTGCGCCTTCGGAAACGCCAGCAGCTCATCACAGTGACTCGCAGCACGGGGCAAGGAGACTCGTCTCCATGCTCAGAGGGGACGCTGAGGCTGAGAGCACCCACCGGGGGTTCGCGGCTCAGCAGGTGACAGCTGGCTGAAAACCCTTAGCTGGCATTCTGGGGAGAGGAGCCCGTGTCTACGGCAGCCGAGGCCACCCCTGCTGTCCCAGACTCGGAGCTCTTCCCCCCAAAGCTGGGAAGGACAAGCCCCACGGGGCTGCGGCATCTCCTCTAAGCTGTTAAACACTTCTAGCCCTTTTCTGTATGCTGAGTTTAGAGTTTCGAATTCCCTACGGTAACAGGCGGGGAAACGCCAGCAGGTGGTGTGGTGGTTGAGGTGCTGGACGCCCACGTGGCCAGCTGTGGTTTGAGCTGACCGGGGGCTTGAGACTCACCAGGCACGTGTGTGCGTGCCCAAAATCCCGCGAGGAGGGTGGAGAGGGGACCGCGTGGCCACCCCCAGGGGCGATGTCTCTCCATTTGGTTGTGTCCCATGGTGAAGATATAAAGAAGTGTGTTGATCGCACCAAGCGTCAAGTCCTTAAATCGTGCAGTCCCGACTCCCCGAGGCACGGGTTCAAGTCTACCCACAGCTTCACCTCTCAGAGCGCAGGGCGAGGGCGCTTGTCATCCGTGGCCTGCAGCCATGTTGCGTTCTCGTTTCTGCCCTGAACGCTAAGTCTTAATCTCAGAAGCCGCAGTGAACCTGCCGATGGCTGGCTTAGTCCCGTGGCCGGGGAAGCTGGGGACTGACCCGGCCTCGGGGAGCACAGCACCCTTACCCGCACGCTCCCCTTTATGAAGGCTGCTGCAGGGCGCTCCAAGATCACTGCAGCTTGCTAAGTGCAGAGTGTGGGGAGTCCAAAACGAGAACATGCCACGGGTGACCGCGGCAAGGTGAGGGTGGCCCCATCTCGACACGACCCCCATCCCCTGTCTTGACACAGGGCACTTGGCAAGGTGGAAGGTAAATTGAGTCAGGGAAGGCCTCGCCCCCGGCACCGTGCTGACGTACAAGGTGGCCTTGTCCCTGTGTTCTGCCCCAGCCCCACGCCGACCTGCTCCCCCAGAGGCCCCAGCTCACTGCCCCCTCCTCACGGTGAAGTGGATGCCGGCCCTGCTCCTGGGCGCTGCAGGAGAAGCCAGTGAACAGCGAACTCGGACGAACCTGGGGCCTCCCGAGAGCTCATGGAAACTGCTATTACGAGAAAACTAAGTGGGCTCAGCATTTTTGCACCAAAATAAAGTTGCACCTTCATTCCCCTTCCCACGTCTGCTCAGGTACTGGTCTCTAAGCTGGCACTGAAGTGCACTGTAAAACGCACAGGGATTATAGTAGATGGGGCGCACCCGATGGTCCTGGAGCGCTTGGGGTCACTCTGCACCTCCCACTCGAACAGGTTGAAGGTGGTGGTTCCCAGGTTTAGGGGACCACAGAGGTGGAGGCAGTGCAGAGCACGCTCCCCACACTCGACGGGGCACTGTGGGTGCGATGGGCTCCCCCGGGGTCCAGAGGACCGGCAGCCCAGCGGTCAGCGCCGTGTACGGAAAGCCGCGTGGAGTGCACTGATCTGTGGCGACCGAGAACCACGAATACTTCTGGAAAAGGCACTGGTGCACACAGGGCAGAGTCCCGTGTGGCTGGAGGAAGCTTGGGGCCAAAGGCAATCGCAAGGGAGGGAAGCGTTACCTAGAATGTCCGAGTTTGTGAGGATTCTGGCTACAACAGGACACCAGAGACACCTCGGAGCTGCTTGCCCCGTTGCCACCCCTCCAGATTAAAAACGCGTTTCTACCTCATGGAACTTTGCATAGCATCTGTTTTGCATTTGGTCTTGCTACAGGGCACGTGTGTTTGCTGCAGAGACAAAGAGAGAAATCCCCGCACAGCTCCCACCCTGCAGGCTTACTCGCCAGGGTACAGGGCGCCCCGCCTCCCGGAGGCAAAGACAGTCCGACCTCCCCATGCCTGGCAACAGTGGGCGCCCCAGACGCTGGACCCAGTGACAGCCCACAGTGGCCTGTGCATCTGGGGCTCAGGCTAACCTGTGGTTACACCCGACCTGTGACAGAGCCCGTGTCCCTCTCCCTGCCCCGGGTACCATGCCACCCGTGTCCTGGGGTACTAGGCTACCACCAGGAGTTCCCTCTCACGACTTCAGGACGCCGATGCCGACGGCCACAGACGTCCCTCGCTGGTCACCAGCTTCCTGCCTGATGGCGCAGGGCTCGGGAGAGTGCTGTGCTGCTGGGGCCGGGAGTGGTGCCCGGGGAAGAGCCCAGCCCAAGGGGCAGCAGCAAGCTGGGATGGGGGTGCTGTGGGGTCGCCTCTCCGACTGAGGGCAAAGGAGGTGGCACAGACCAGGCAACCTTGGGCAAAGGACCTCGCTGGGCAGGGCTGCAGCTGTGCCTCCAGGCTGCCCTGCACGAGCAGGGCCCGTGCTGCAGGGCCAGGAGGCATCGCGCCACCCTAGGACCTGGGACCTGGCAGCCCCAGTGCAGGGGCGTCTCTCACACGCCTGTGACCCCCGCACACTTCACTGCAAAGGCTCCTCCTGGGCTCAGGCGCAGGCTTGGCCCCTGGGATGGCCCCTGCCCTGTCCCGCTCCACCACAGGCCAGCTGCTCCTCACTGACCACGCCGGGTGCCCAGCCCTCAGGCCTTTCCGCCCGACTGCGACACTGCCAGAGCGAGGTCGGCGAGCCAAGTCCCCGCAGGCCCGAGGGGCAGCAGGCGGCCAGGCTGGGGACTGCCCGTGAGCCGTGCGACCTCTGCGGGCCTGCTGTGCTCCGAGCGAGCATCACCTCTGGGCAGATCCTTATGCATCGGGTCTCAGCAGACAGAATCCTGTGGTCGAAAACACCAACTCTCTTTAAGAGTGCGGGGACTCAAAGTCCATGCAAAAATGGGATTCAAGTATGAGTTTATTTTGGTGCAAAAGGCTATGAAACCTGGTTTTTCCCATCAACTTCATGAAGACCCTCACACTCCGGGCTCAGGCGGGCAAGCCTGCTGGGCCAGGTCTCCGCGTGCGCCGGTGGCCTAGGGCCGCGCTGCCAGGGGGTGACCTGATGCGCCTTTGGTCTTTAAGAACAGGGAACTCTGCAGATGGACGTGTCTGACGTGGAGGAGGGGAAGGAGGGGGAGGCAGGCAGAGAGCTTCGGCCCCCTGATCAGCGAGAAGGGCCAGTGGCCCGGCCACACCGCAGGCAGAAATGGGTTAAAGAAACTTGTTATTAAATTTAATTTTCTTTAAATACATAACTCCCCGCTCCCTCAGGGAACAGAAGACCCTCCGCTACTCTGGGATCGAGATGGGAGGGGATGGAAACCCTGTGTCCAGCGGGAGGCCCCTCTGCTCCTCGGGAGAAAGCCCCCAGAGGGGGTTTGAGCAGGGGCCACGCTCCTCCCTGCAGGCCTGGGGACGCTCCAGGTGGCCCGAGGGAGAGCTGGGCAGGGACAGTACGGCGGCCGTCCCAGGAAGTCCCATGTAAACACTGACTTCAACCCCGCGTCCCCGCTCCACTCTCACAGAGCCTCCACGGAGGGAGAGGCAGGAAGGCTGTGGGTCAGTGTCCGTCAGGCCTACTCGCCCCTCTCCGGGGAGCCCCCAGGGGTGTCCCATGTCTCTGGCAGCAGCGGGTAGACCCCGTCCCTGGAGCAGGGTCTGGTCGATACCAGGACGTGGCGGTCCTGGCGGGCCGCAGTGGGCACTGAAGAGCAGGGGACGGCTCTGGAGGCAGAAAGGTGGCATCGGGCTGGCCTTGCAGATGGAAGCTGTGACTGTCACGCCAGCTCGTCCAGCAGGATGCTGAAGTTCGGGGCGGCCTCCGAGGGCCCCGCGAGGGGCTTGTTACACATGGGGCAGACGCAGCGCACTTCTAGCCACTTCACTAGGCACCTGCGAGGAGGCCGGGCGCTGCACGGAGGCGGACTGTCCCCGGGAGAGCCCAGCCGTCTCGGGGAAGCACGTCCCACCCCTGCCCCAACCCGACCCTCTGCTTGTTTGGTGTCAGACAGGGTCCCGGGCACCACTGGCCAGGCCAGCGGCGAGGTGGCAGGGGTTGGAAGGTTCTAGACGATGCCCTGGGCACACCCCCTTACTTGCGGTGAAAGGCATGCTGGCAGGGGAGCACCCCGAGCTCAGCCTTCCCCCTGAAGTCCTCCAGGCAGACGGCGCAGGTCTGCTGCGGAGAGAAGGGGTGAGGGGAGACCCAGCGCCCCGCCCACGTCCACGTGCGCATCCCTGCCGCCCCACCAGGAGCTCCAGGCTCTAGCCGGCCTCCACTAGGGGGCGCAGGTCTGTCCCCACCGCAGACGGCGCGGTAGCCCCTGCCCAGGACGGCGCAAGTTTAAACCAACCGAACCACTGGGTGTCGGGGAAGTCGTGGCGCATGTTGGCACAAAAAAAAGAAAACCGCGCCACGACTCTTCCGACAGCCCCGAGGGTGAAGCGTGAGCTCAGCTCCTCGGCCGTCCCACGCGCCGCGCCCACATGCCGCAGGGGTGGTGTGTCTGGCGGGCGTGTGGGGACGGCGGGCTTGTGTGGACGGCAGGCGTGCCCAACACCAGGTCGCCGTGGCTGGTGCTGCCGGGAGGGCAGTCCAAGTCCTTCCTAGCCCCAGCACCTGCCCAGGTGGCCCACTGCAAACCGGGAACAAGGCTGGGCGGGGACAGGGACAGCAGCCAGGTCACATCCAGACTCACACCCTAGACAGCAGCGGTCCCGGTCCCACCCCACGGTCACAGCCCCACCAGGGCATTCTTCCCTCCACCAGCACCCCTGCCTCCCGCCCCTACCACTCACCACTACACACTCAATCCTCTCACTCCCCCACTCTCACCCTTCCCCACTCCCCCCTCCCTCCAACACTTACTCCCCTAAGACAGTCACCTCTCCAGGACACCCCCACTTCAATTCCCCTCCTCATGACACTTACCCCCCCAAGGACACAACCCACACACGTCCCCACACCTACCCCATATAGCTGCAGCTTCCGGGCATCACCCCTGAGGACCACCTGCAGAGAAGAGGTGGCAGGATGGGCTGGCAGGAGCCCAGGCAGGAGCCCGGCCCACCCAGGGCAACCTCTCTCCCACGACAGGATGACAGGGAGGGCTCTGACTGCAGGCCACACCTGACTTGGGGACAGGGGAGCTAGCCTCAGGGAGCCTGAGGAGCCCGGGGTTCCAAATTGGGGGCTCAGCCCCCTTCCCCTCACCCACAGCCTACGGGCAACGAGGAGGGTCTCGGGGCATGGCTGGGCTGTACCTCCTTGTACCCATACCGCTGACTCTGCGCCTGGTTCCGGAGTTTGCTGGGGAAAGAGGGGGAGAAGGTCAGGATGCCTACGCAGGAGGGGCGAGGTCAAGGGGTGCTTCCCACCTGCACAGCCCCCCTCAGTGAGGACAGGGGCCCAGGCTTAAGAGCCTGTTTCCTGCCAGGTCCTGCACATGCCTGGGGGTCTCTGGCAGGCACCCCAGTTCCCGTACGCTCCCAGCAGGTAGGGTCTCATGCCGTGGAGCAGCTACGTGGTTGCAGGCGTGCAGATGGAGTGGGGGCAGTAACTCTGCAAGGACCCAGGAGTCTCCCCCCAGGCAGCGCTCTGGAGCCAGGCACGCCCCTCCACACCCTCTCCCTGGAGCCTGCCGCTACTGACGGTGACAGCACGACAGTAAGGAAGGGCGCCATGTGCCACCGACGGTCATGGGCAGCCTCCTGACACGAACTTGAAGCGGGGACGCTGTCCCTCTTACGAGCGGGGAAAACAAGCCCAAAGAAGTAATCTGCTCAAATTTCGTGGAAACCATAGTCTGTGGCCACGGTCCTGGGAACCCGCCTAGTCTTAGGAGCTGCCCACCCCACCCCCAAGCCTGACCTCCTGAATGGCTTCCTGTGCACGCGGCTGGGACCTCCCAGCACACCGGTCCTGCAGTTTCATTTCCCGTGGGGGAGCGCTCGCTCGCGGCCCTGCAGGAGCCTTTCCGGCCGCCTGTATGGGGGCTGGCTGTACAAGGGTCCCCCAGTCAGAGCAGGGGCGAGGTGGTTGGGGGACATCAAGAGGGCAGCTGCTGCCGAGGCACAGTGAAGGCTGTGGACGTGGCAGGCCGCCAGGCAGGAAGTTGGGGGACCTGGCCAGGTACGTTCTGCAGCCCAAGGACTCTACTCGTGCCGACCCCTGCGGGGCGTGCAGTCCGGACAGCACAACTCCAGCCACCCCTCCCTGCTGCTCACGCAGGGTTGGGCTAAAGTCTAAGCCAGCCTGACCGCCCCACCCTCAGCCTGGCAGAGAGGTCCTGGGTCCAGAAAAGGTGCTTGAACACACGCACGTATCTGTCCCAGCTTCCAACTAGGTGGCACAGAGGGGGCACTCCAGGGTGAGGCCAAGGAGAGGCCGTGTCACCCACTGGGCAGAAAGGACGTGCTCGGCGTGGGGCAGATGCTGCCGCTGTCCCTCAGCGCAGTGAACAGGGAAATGTGGAGGAGCCTGACCCAGCCCTCGGGTTGCGGTGGGGCTGCACAGCCTCCGGGGCACAGCTGCCTCCCTGCAGCATGATTGAGCCCTCCATGCGGGGGTCTTTGGTGCCTGGGGTGCCCCCCCCCCGCCTGCACCTGCACGTCTTGCCCAGAAGCCCCAGAACTTGTGCTGGGCGCAGCTCAGGAAGGGCGGGCCGTGAGGTGACCACGGTGACAAGGCTGCGAGAATGGCCACCCGCAATGCTGTGCACCACCCAGGTGGACTGCGGCCCAGCAGCCTGGATCCGGCATGGCTTCCTCAGCTGGGAGGGGGGACCGGCAGCCGGCTGCCCCCGACATCCAGGAGGCCATCTGAAGCCCCGGTCCTGGCCTCTCCTGGATGTGGCCAGGTCCTGAGAACCGTCCCATATCCATGCCACCCTGGCCCTCCGTCCAGGCAGGAGTGGGGAGGGGAAGAGCGCTCAGGCAGGGCAGCATCAGGCCGCCGGCAAAGGAGGAAACCGAGCAGCGGGGAGGAAGTGGCTTCTGTGCTGTCTGTCTATATATAGCCGTGCGGCCGTGCCGGGGCCTCTGGAGCTGCGCCTGCTGGCCAGCTGGCCCTGCAGAGGGGGCCGGGGACAGGTGGCTGGCAGCACCTCGGTGGGTGCTGCGTGCCGTGTGCTCCCTACTCTGCTCCCTCACCTCCAGCAGAGGGACGCACTTGGCCACACAGGTCCCCCACTGGCCCCTGCAGGCTGGCCCCGGCACCACAGCAGCCTCCACTGCCCAGTCAGGGCGGGCCCAGGCGGGTGGACAGATGGCAGGAGGAGGAAGACGGGCCGGGCAGCGCCAGGCTAGCCCCCCCCACATCCTCGCCATGCACCCTAGGGTGTCCCTCACGGAGCACGGAGTCCTCATCCAACAGGGGCTGAGGCCCATGGAGCCGAGGGGCTTGCGAGATGCTGGCCACGACCCCAGGAAGTGAGCCCTCAGTAAGGGGCTACGAGATGGCAATGCGGCAGGGTCAGGGGGGCCCGGCACGGCCCCAGCCATGCCCGTGCTCACGCATCCTGCTCCCGGCCACCCCGGCCACCGCCTTGTGAGTGCCTCTGTGCGCACGTGTGTGTGCATGCACGCACATGTGAGAGTCCCTGGGCACGTGCCTGCCTGTGTGTGTACCCTGTGTGTGCCTGTAAGTCCCTGTGTGTGCCTGTGTGAGCTTGTGCCTGTGTGAATGTGTGCACCTGTGTGCGTGTGCGCCTGTGTCCACATGTGCGCCAATGTGAACGTGTGTACTTGTGTGAATGTGTGCATCTGTGTGCGTGTGCGCCTGTGTCCACATGTGCGCCAATGTGAACGTGTGTACTTGTGTGAATGTGTGCACCTCTGTGAGCGTATGTACCTGTGTGAGTGTGTGTACCTGTGTGAGTGTGCACCTGTGTGAATGTGTGCACCTGTGTGCACTGGTGTGAGCGTGTGCACCTGTGTGAGCGTGTGTACCTGTGTGAATGTGTGCGCCTGTGTGCACTGGTGTGAGTGTGCACCTGTGTGAACGTGTGTACCTGTGGGAGCGTGTGTGCCTGTGTGAGCGTGTGTACCTGTGTGAGCGTGTGTACCTGTGTGAATGTGTGTGCCTGTGTGCACTGGTGTGAGTGTGCACCTGTGTGAGCGTATGTACCTGTGTGAGCGTGTGTACCTGTGTGAGCGTGTGTACATGTGTGAGCGTATGTACCTGTGTGAGCGTACCTGTGTGAGTGTGCACCTGTGTGAGCGTGTGTACCTGTGTGAATGTGTGCGCCTGTGTGCACTGGTGTGAGTGTGCACCTATGTGAGCGTGTGTACCTGTGTGAGCATGTGTACCTTTGTGAGTGTGCACCTGTGTGAGCGTATGTACCTGTGTGAGTGTGTGCACCTGTGTGAATGTGTATACATGTGTGAGCGTATGTACCTGTGTGAGCGTACCTGTGTGAGTGTGCACCTGTGTGAGCGTGTGTACCTGTGTGAGCGTGTGTACCTGTGTGAGCATGTGTGCCTGTGTGAATGTGTGCGCCTGTGTGCACTGGTGTGAGTGTGCACCTATGTGAGCGTGTGTACCTGTGTGAGCATGTGTACCTTTGTGAGTGTGCACCTGTGTGAGCGTATGTACCTGTGTGAGTTTGTGCACCTGTGTGAGCGTGTGTACCTGTGTGAGCGTGTGTACCTGTGTGAGCGTGTGTACATGTGTGAGCGTGTGTACCTGTGTGAGCGTGTGTACCTGTGTGAGTGTGCACCTGTGTGAGCGTATGTACCTGTGTGAGTGTGTGTACCTTTGTGAGTGTGCACCTGTGTGAGCGTGTGTACCTGTGTGAGTGTGTGTACCTGTGTGAGTGTGCACCTGTGTGAATGTGTGTGCCTGTGTGCACTGGTGTGAGTGTGCACCTGTGTGAGCGTGTGCACAGGGGGAAGAAGAGACCGAGAGTCGTTTTCACAGACCCCCCATCAAACATAACCCTCCCACACGTGGCCCGTCCTCACCCGCATCCTGGGAATTGTGACCTGCTTCATAAACGGGGAAGGGTGGGGGGGTCAGGGGTCAGGAGGCATCTGAGGAAGAGCAGGGAGGGTGAGGAGGGAGGACAGAGACCAGAGACGACCCTCACCCCCATGAGGACGCCGATTTCAGGCTCAACTGGACCAGAGGGAGAAGCCGCCCCTTCTTCCGCTGGCTCCGGAGGACGGCGGGCCCCAGAGGGTGGCTGGGAGGTCTGCGGTGGGACTGAATGGTGGCAGGCTGACCCACGGCAGGTCCTCAGCCCCCGTCTGGAGCCCTCCCCACACCCTCCGGGCACACGCCCTCACCTGGGGGCCACGCTGAGACCTGTAGGGGGCCTGGCCCGCACACACTTGCTCTCTCATGGAACAGAGAAATAAAAACACTTACAGGAAAGAAAAGAATAGTCTGAGGAAGAAGCCGGCGTGAGCCAGGAGGGGCATGGCAGGGCGGTGCCTGGTACCCGGTCTGCCCGTCCCCGGCTCCTGGAGGCTCTGCACCCAGCGGCTCCACGGGGGCCTGGGCCTCAGTCTGACCTTCTCAGACCCCGTCCAGGGCATCTTTCAGGTGCCCGTGGACTGGAGGGGGTGCTGTCATGGTGGCGCTCGACGCTGGCACTTCTATTGGGCAGGCTGCGCCGTTCTCTGGGCAGGACGGTCCGCAAACACACCCAGTCCCACAGACTACCTCCATATGCCGCCCACAGCCCGCTTCTCCTGGAGAAAGCAGCCCCAGCTCCAGGTCCCTTTCCAAGAGGCAGACGGCTCCTGGGCCAGGCTGCCTCCCCGAGCTCAGCTCCTCCCGGCGTGGCTAACCACCACGAGCAAGTGCCTGTCCAGCTCCCTTTACCCTCAGAAGCACGTGCTCTCGAGGCACAAACAAGAGGCTGTCCAGACCTGGGCTGCCTCAGCTGGCCTCCGGAGGTGGCCAGCAGGGTGACCACGAGCACGGAGCAAGCCTGGGTGTGCTGGTCACGCCCGCTGTTCCTGGCCACCTGGCAGCAGGCAGGGCCACCACCGTGCCATACGGTGGGTGGTGATTCTAGGCCACCTGGGGTAGCTGGCCAGCGGTGGATGTGGCCCGTCCTGGGGTGACCTTACATGCTCCGGGACACCATGACAGGCTGACATACGTGGCACCACCAGGCTCAGGGGCCCAGAGGAACAGCGAGGCCCACCCCACAGTGGTTCTGGGGAGGTCCGGATGCTGTGGGCCCCTCACCTGGCTGCCCCTGTCCCTGGAGCCCCACTCACCTGATGAAATAGCAGCAGAAGAGGAGGCTGAGCATGAAGACGAAGACGCCCGTGCCGAAGACAACCATGTAGATGTTGAGGGGGAGGTCCTGGAAGCTGATGGGCGGCATGGAGCAGGACTTGTTGGTGCCGACCAGGCCCAGGCCGCAGAAACACCCTGCAGGAGGGCACATAGGCCGTCAGGGTCGGCGCACGCCGTGGGGGTTGGCGCGCACCGGGGTGAGACACTCGGAGTCCTCAGTGGCAAGAGACGCAGCAGGCTCTGGGCCCTCCACCTCTGACGCGGAGGCTTGCATGTGTATCCCAGCCCTGACACGGAGGCCTGTGTGTGTACCCCAGCCCCGACGCGGGGGCCTGCGTGTGTACCCCAGCCCCGACGCAGGGCACGTCCCGTCCGCGGTGAGTGGGACACGACAGGTGCCCAGAGCAGTCTGCCCCTGAGAGACCGAGATTCAGGCAGTGGGCAGAAAAATGAAAAGCTTGTCCCGCCAGGTGAGGCCACAGAGCACAGGTGTGAGATGCAGCACGCAGGGGAGGAGACCCAGCCGGCCAGCGGGTGACCTTCATGAAGTCGCCTCTCTGAGCTCCACTTTGTCCTACCGACATGAACAGAAATGACAGTGTGAGAAGTGCGCTTTGTAAACGGCTAAGGTCATTTCTCATTATTAAACCACCTGCTCCAGAAGACAGCTGTGCAGGGCCTAGAATAGCAACTGCACTCCAAGACCAAGCCAGCGTCCCAGAAAGCGCAGGGCAGTGGGGCGAGCTGCGGCGTCCCTTCCTGGTCACGGGCCCCCTTTCTATCAAAGCCATGACGCGCAGCCCGGCAGTGGTGGCACAAATCCTGCGAGCTTGTGGGAAGGCAGATACCCAGGCCGAGTCTGCATTCTCCCAGGGCCTCCGGGCTTCCCGGGCAGCCACGACACGCTCCTGCTTCCCTTCTCATGCACCCAAGACGGCCCTGACTGTCCAAGCCACAGCCCCGCCCCTGCCCGGGTCGGGGTGAGGAGGGTCTGCGACAGGTGGGCACAGGGAAGACTTCCCCACGCTCCCAGACACCCAGAACATGGTGCCGAGCTGAGTTGGAAGGGGAGGAGCCAGCAAAGGCAGGTGGCGAGGGTGGCCGAGTGGCTGATGAGCGGGCTAGAACTTGTCCTGCACCTCGCATGTTCTCATGCCACCACCGGCACATCTGGGATGTTGCAGCTGGACGGTGCCTCACCCACAGGTACGCACAACCACCACCCTCAGGTTCTCCCAACAGCTGAGGCCTGCTTCCAAGGGCCTCTCCGTACCTGGGCTCCAGGCACCCTCTGGCCCCTCGGACCACATCAGTGCTCCGTGAACGCTGTGACTGCTGACAGCGGAAGGCTGGCTCGGACGGACAGAGTCCGCATGGCTGTTGCTCGTCTCATTCCTGTCCACCCAGAGATCGAACTGGGCACCATCGAGTGGACCCTTCATTCAAACTCCTGCAGGTTGTGAAGGAGCCTAGCGGCACACCCCACTTCCAAACCCACGTCACCTACCGTCTCCAGCCAGCGTCGCTGTTTCCGGTTACTTCTCTGACACGTCCTCCCCAAGTCCCGTCTGGCTCCGTCTTCCTAAGCCCGCTTTGAGTCCTGCGCCCCTGTGTGCTCCCTTCCTGCCCTGCCCTCCCTGCCTCCACGCCTTTCTGTGCCCGGGGCTTTCCCGCCCGCCCGCTTTCTTTAGTCGCCACGCCCAGTCTTCCTGAATGCTGCAGGGTGCACACCTGGCCCGTCCAGGCTCTCCCCACTCAGGGCCTGCCTGACATTGCCCGTGGCTCCGATGCAGGGCCGGCAGGACCCGCAGGGCGCACACGCACACGCACACGCACACGCACACTAAGCCTTGGTTGCGAGGTAAGAACAATGGTGGACACTGGTGGAGAGGCCACGTCTCAGTAAGACCTCAGTAAATAAATAAGCCTGGCCCCCAGACAGCAGCGCCCACTTAAAGCGAGGTGACTGGGGTCTTGGAAAACCGCCCTCCGCCAGTGGGGTGCCGGCCAGCCGACAGGTGCTGCTGAGGACCTCGACACCCTGATCTGGACGCTGCCGGGAAGCGGGAGTGACCACAAGGCCTGACAAGAAACAATTAGCTAGCAGCCTGCTGTGCCCGACAGGAAGGCCCTACTTCTGGGTGGGCCAAAGGAGCCAGTCTTCCATGGAGACACCGCAGTGGCCTGGCCAGAGGGACAGCCTTCCATCTACACAGGGAAGGGGCTCAGGCCTCCCTCCATGCCAGTGAGGCTTCTAGCCCCCACGTCCATGAGAGCGTCTGACCCCACCTGCCTGCCACATCTGAGCGCCCACCTCTTCCAAGCTGGGCCCTGGGGTCTCTTGGCTCTGCAGAGCCATCTGGTCTGCCCTGGGATCTCTGGAGCCCTGACAGGGCCATCCGGGCTGCAGGCGTGTCTGCTGCCTGTGGGCGCTCTGGCTCCCTGATCAGTTGATCCCGACCATCTTATCCCAGCTGGGCCTCCAGGACTGAGTCCCGGAGTTGGGACTTTTTGCAAGAGGTGGGCCCTCAGTCCCAGTCATGAGATGGTCCACTTTCTTTATCACTGTTAAAGAGGAGCAGGAAACAGCGTCCAGGCCAGAAGCTGCTGTGGAGTTCCTCCTCAAACTCCGGAGGGCAGAGCCCCAGCCCCAGAAAGGGGCTCGGCTGGGTGTCTTCCCAGTTGTGGGGGAGGGGTGGCTTCCTCTCCGGTGTGAAACTGGGGGGGAGGGAGGGTTGTCTCTCACTTAAGAAAAGATAAAGTAGAAAGTTTCCTTAACACCGGGAGGGGGCTGCACAGCAAAGGCCCGCAGTACTGCCAGCACCCCAGTCCTCCCCAAGTCTCCTTCCAGTGTCTCCCCACCCTTCCAGCGCCCCGACATCCGAGGTCCCTTCTCGGCTGGCAGGCTGGGAGCAGGATGACGTCAGAGAGGGGCTGGCCAAGACAGACCGGCTCGGCGCCTGCAGCTTCTCCGTCCCAGCCCGGGAGCCTCTGCCAGACGCCGGACCGGCCCTCCTCACCCCAGCCTCCCCCTCCCACAACAGCCCAGCACGGCCGGCTCATTTGCAGGAAACTAGATCCGACCAGCAAGAGGAGGAAGAAGGGGGATGGGGGCGCTCACGCGGGCTGCCCGAACCCTGCCTTAAAACAAAGCGTCTTGAAATAATTAATCCAAGACCTGGCGGGCGGCCCCACTCCCGAGCGGATTTTCCTCCTAACTAGCCGGCCCGCCCCGCCCAGGGATAGGCCAGCTGCCCCCCACCCTGTACCCCAACTCCACCGTCAGGCAGCGCGGTCAGGACTCGCCCACTGGGGGCCTGGGGGTGGCCTCCAGGTCTGAAGTGACCCACTCGGGGGCCCTCCTTTGGGAGCTCGGTGAGAGGCAGCCCCGAGCCTCGCCTCATCGCCTACACCGCAAAGAGGCTCCGGTGCGGCGGAGGAGCTCGCGGCAGCGCTGGGGCCCGGGGAGGGGCTCGGCGACACGCGCGGGGTGCCCCGGCTCGGGGAGGGCCGGGCGCGCAAGCACCTACACGGCTCTCTCAAGTCCCAGGCGACAGTCTTGAGTCCCGCGCCTTGCCCAGGACAAAGGCCCCTGGCGGCCGGGGGGAAGCCGACAAAGAGCCAGGGAGCCCCGCGCGCGCGGCCCCCACCTGCGACCGGCACATTCCAAACAGCCTGCGAAGTTGCAGGCCGGGAAAGGCGCTCGCTCCAGAGGTGCCAGCCCCGGCGCGGGTTTCTGCTCCCACAGCCACGACAAAGGGCAGAGTTTGAGCGCACAAGGGCAGGGGAAGGGGTGGCAGGGCCGAGCCGGCACACCGAGGCCGGGAAGCCCTCGACTCCCACGCCCCCGGCCGGCCGCGCAGGCAGGGACTCCGCGGGCCCGGGAGTCTCACCTGGCAGGTTTCAAATTGCGCGCGGCGCAGGGCCGAGCTGGGCGCCCTCCCCACCGGCCCGTGCGAGAGAAACCTGTTTCCCGGAGCAGCGAGCCGGGGCCGCGCAGCCTGGCCCGGACTCACCGTTACACCACTGGAATGGGTGCATCAATGAGTCTCGGCTGGCCTCCTCCCGCGAAGGAACACGAACGCAGACGGGCGACGCAGGCGTGGGACGCGCCGCGGGGTCCGCGCAGCAGCCGGTGCGGAGCGCGGGGCTGCCTTCGAGAAGTCCAACTCCCTCGGGGGAGGAGGGACTGCGGTTTTCAGAGCGACAAAGAGGGAACTGGCGGAAACAAGCGGAAAGTCACCGCACCAAAGCGCCTCGGAGGACGCACGTCGCGCCCGGGCTGGGGACTTGCGGGACACGGCGGGTGGCGGGGAGTGCGGGCGGCGGAGGCTCCGGGCCGGCGGAGGGCAGAGCCGGAACCCGGGTGCGCGCGGGGATTCCGAGGCTGACACCCGGCGGCGCACGCCCCGCCTTCTTGGTACCCCGGGACTCCGCCCTCTGCCCGTCTTCGGCCCCGGCCAATGGGAGCCCTCGTCCGCTCCGGATTCTCGGTAGGCCCGCCTCTCCCGGGGCGGGGGGCGTGTCTTCGCACGGTGCGCACCGAGCGGTCCGGTTCCCAGACCTCGGGGAAACTCCTGTCCCTGGAGATGCGCGCCGGTCGTGGGGGACCCACCCGGGTTGAGACCCGTCAGGGCCACCTCGCTTCCCTGCAGAGCGAGTGCGGCTCGGTGTGCGGCTCCCGGGGAAGCCGGGGCTGGGCCGCGGCCGCACTTCTGCTCCGGGGCGGGTCCCCGCCCTGCTGGTGGCCGGTCTGCCCTGCGCGCCCAGCGAAAGCGCGAGCTGCAGCCGGAGGGTCGCGCAGAGCAGCTAGCAACGATGTGCGTCGGGCGCAGTTACCCCCTGGCCCGCGGAGCTCTGGACAGCCAGGCCCTAAGGCCTGGGCCGGGGTGGGGGGCCGGGCTGCACCCTGCGTCGGCGGAAACGACCTCGCAGCCCCTTCGGGAGGGCTGTGCCCGCGCGGGGCTGGGTAAACCGCAGACGGGAAGACGCCTGCCTTACCCCGCCGCTTCCGTTTTTGTCGCTCTCTCCACCTTTCCCTTTTCAGAGAGAACGCGCCGCGAGCCCACTCGATGCTGGTGCCATTAACGTCGTCGGAGACCAGGTGTCCACTCTCCTGGGACGTGCACTGCCTGCGGCGACCAACGACAAACAAGCGAGGGACCAGCAGCTGGCGTAATGGCTGTCGCTGATCTCGTAGTTGACCATGGTTCGAGTCCCGGACCCTGTGGCTTAAACTCACGCAAGGCTCATGTGCGTGTGTGCCCCCAAGATCCTGAGAGGAGAGTGGAGGAGAAGGGATTGCAGCGTGGCCATCCTCCCTGGGGGGTGATTTCTCTCTTTCTGTCCCTCTATCTCCCTATGCTATAGGGCACATGCCCTATAGCAAAAACTTCTCCAAAAAAAAAAAGAAAAGAAAAAACACAAGCGAGGGAACGAGGGCTCCATCTTCCGGCAAGGCATTCGACGTATTTAGTTAATTACAGATGATGGACCCTGGGTGACATCCGGGTACTGTTACCCGGCTATATGTAGGCACACTTTGTCATTTGAAGTCTCACTGTTAAGGTAGCAGAGGATTCTGCCCAGACCCCCGAGGCTGGGCAGGGGCC